GTCCTTGGAATTTTAGGGGATTTACTAATACTTCAGTGGGCTATGTACATTTAATATTGAAAGGTTGAGGTGCAGAGAGAAGTCTTGTCTGCTCCAAATCTGGTGGTATTACATGTACTGGAACTTCTTACTGTTAAATTTGGCCCAAAACATGGATTTCAGTCCTTGAAATTTTAGGGGATATACTAATACCTTCAGTGGGCTATGTACATTTAATATTTGAAAGGTTTGAGGTGCAGAGGAGAAGTCTCATGTATCTTTTTTCTTTAAACCATCATATTGGGCTGTTTTTTTTTTGGGCGGGTTGGGGGGGAGGGGGGTGGGGATAGCCCCTTTCCTTGGTGCAGTGACATCTTATGCAATAATTGTATGTTCCATAAAAAAACTGAACATAATGTGATCTTTTTCACCTTCATTTTTTCCGAATGTAGCGATTGCTGTTCGAGATAAGCTTGAATCGTTGTGTAGGGAGTTACAACGTCAAAACAAAATGTTAATGGTACAACTTCCTCTACATATTCTACTTTTGTAAACTGAGTCCCTTATTTAATTGATACTTATTTCATATGCGCTTATTACTTGATTTACTTTTGTGGATTTGCCTGGAGATTTGTTTCTTCCTATTGATTTACCAGTTATTTAAGTTAATTTATATGGTGTGGTTTTTTTAGAAGGCATAATGTGATCTTTTTCACCAAGTCAGGTGCAGAAACGTAGATTTGCTGTTGTAATTGAACTTGTTACTGAAGGCATACCTTTGGACCTTCAATATGTGATGTGTGCTGATCATATCATGTTTTGCTTGATATTACTTCCAAGGTCATAGTTAGATTATTTCTTACTAATTTTTTCATAGGAAAATATTTATTAGAAAGGAAGAAGATACAAATTGGGAGGATACTACATCCTCCTAGAAAGAAACAAACAAACAAAGATAGGGAAGATAGAAAAATTGTTAAACTCTAATTTGCATTATTGCTATGTTTAAGAAGTTAAATGATCATTTATCATCTTATGCCTTTATCATTTTCTACAGCATAATTTTTGTTTTTCTAAACCTTTTTGTCTTGCTTAGTTTGATATTAAAATATGACCATTCTCTCTCTACTTAGCAGCATTAGTCATTACTTTTTGTTCTGGAGATAATGGTACTTAGTTTTATGATTTTACAGGATGAATGCAAACGAGTAACAACAGAGGGGCAAAACTTAAGATTCGATTTATCAACCAAATTTGAAAATGCAATAAAGGTTTGTTTTAAAAGTTCCAATTCAATTCAACCATAAAGAAAGTGTTTTTAGTTACTTGAGATTCCATACCTTCACAATCACATGACTGAGGCTAAAAAGTGATATTTGTATTTCATATAAATCCTAATAAAATAACCTGTATCCATCATACTTCCTATTTTAAGTGATAAAGTAGTATGGATCTCTTCTTGGTTTTGTTGTGTTTTCTTCAAGATCAGGTGTTATTTTCACGTATGTTTGGATTATCTTTCAA